AACAATGGAACAATGGAATTTACCCAGCAAAGTCACCAAAAAACAAATCAATATAGATAGCACTCCTCTGTCTCTTATGCAGAACAAAACTAATATCAATATATATATATATATATTATGAATCTAGGGTTTTGTAATCAAACCCTAATTGTTACCAAATTAGATTGGGTCTCCTTAAATATAATATATAAAAATATATTATACTAAACCAAGCCAAATTAAACCTTTTTTAATAAATCAACTGGGTCCCACACTCCAATAAGGAGGTATATCCCAACAATAAGTAAGCACGAGAGCAACAATCTTGCATAAGCAAGCATTTTGATGCAAGTACCACTAAACCCAAATCCTTCCCAAATCAGCCACCAACCAACCCACTGATATACCAAAATTTTCTTTAACACAATACACTACAACATATAAGAGTTTCAGAAATCAAATATTTTGGTCTCTAAAAGTGAAAATTTTGTTGCAAAAAGCATTTAGGGATTAATTTCTATCGTTATGAGAATAGTCGCTAAAAAATCGTCCTGAAAAGTCAAAAATGAGGCTTTTACCGACAAAATTTTGAAAATGTCACTAATAAATAGACTTTTAGGGATAAAATAATTTGGTCACAAAATAGTTTATTTTTTTAGACAAAAAATTTGGTCCCAAAAAGAAAATAATTTATCACTAACGTCTAATTTTTGTTACTAAAAGTATAATGACGACACTTTTCGCAACAAAATTTTTTGGTCTCAAAACAAATTTTTGTCTCTAAATATTGGTCTTTAAAACCTTAATTTTTTGTAGTGATAACTAATTTATCTCTTTATGTATAAATAAACACATAGATGCATATGTTATAAACACACCCAAACGTATATAAGCACATACAAACACCTTTACCAAAAAATAAAAAAAACAAAACGCATACTAACGCAATTCTACCAACTAGGGGTGAGCATGGTCCGGATTGGACCGGATTGGGATAAAACCAGGACCAATCCGTTTTCTACGGTTCCTAAAATATTGGAACCATTTAAAATCTTAATTTTTTGTAGTGATAACTAATTTATCTCTTTATGTATAAATAAACACATAGATGCATATGTTATAAACACACCAAACGTATATAAGCACATACAAACACCTTTACCAAAAAATAAAAAAAACAAAACGCATACTAACGCAATTCTACCAACCAATTGAAATACAAAATTGAAACTAAACAACTCAGAGCAATTGTAAAACCTACCAATGCATTGTAGAAACTTGAGGTAGATGGTGTTGCAATGGCCGTGGATGAGATGTTATGGGTTGGAATGACTATATATCTCTTGTGAGATTGGAAGAAGATAGTGGTTTATGTTGGAAATACTTATAAAATTCTGGGTAAAATCAGAATTTTTTCTTAAGTTTGGTCTATTTTTTAGGTGGGTCCCGTGCATCGATTTACGCGGGTCAAAGTGGTAACGTATTTTATGCCGCGTTGTGATTCACATGGTATATTTGGTTGCTTAAAACCATTACCGAGTGAATGGGAAATTGAAGCCAAAGTGTGCTCCATGAAAATAGAGTTTTTATGAAAATTCCTTAAGGTTGTAAAATGGCTTATCCCACATTGATTTGGTGGGAAGTTTTGAATGGGTTTATAAGGCTTGGGTTTGGTATTTGGAGTGTGCCTCAAGGGGTACCCAAGTGTTTTAAAGAGAGAGGTTATGGGCTAGACCCATTGGATCCAAAAATCACCACACACGCGCACCGCCGCCGTCCGTCCGGTCGGGTGGCCTGGGTGTGGGTGCTAAATTGAAATAAATTGATTTGGTTTTACTGTACATCCAAACAAGGCCTTTCCTGAAATAAACTAGTTTGGTTTTTAACATACATCCAAACAGGGCCCTTCCCGTTGACACCTTTACATCTATAAATAGACTAGCCTCCCATTTAGATTTTACTCCAATTTTCGTACTCCATCCTCTGCTATAAATCTCTGCATTTTGTTGCATTTAATTTCTAAAAGAAAGAGCGTAAACACTTAGTGTGTTCGTAAGCCAAACAATTTGTAGTGCTACTGTTGTTTGTAGTAGATCATTTCATCTTGAGAGATAGACGTCCAAATTCTGAAAGCACCGTGGAGAAGACGAGTAAGGCAAACAATTTGTAGTGCTGTTATTGTTTATCGTAGATCATTTCATCATGGGAGATGGACGTCTAAATTCTGAAAGCACCGTGGAGAGGACGAATCTGCCTTAAGGATACAGTGTCAAACACTGGACTTGATCAGATTATAATTCGAACAAATTAAATCAAATAAGTTATTTAATCTATTTTCGGTGTTTTATTATTTATTTAAATCAGATTTTAATTTTGTTTTTGTAACAAAATAAAATCTATTTTTATTTATTTATTTTTATTTCAAGTTTGATTTTTGTAATCAAACAAATTCTCTCATTTCCTTTATTTCTTTTATATTCTGTTTGTTGTTAAGTACACAAACTGAATTTGAATTAATTAATTACAGTGAAGATTGGCAAACAGTTTAATAATGGTTCTAGTGGCAGCCAGAGAAAGAAAAAGCGATTACGGTTGTGGTTGTAGGGGTGGGTGTTTGCTTTAATGATGGTGGTAGTGGGTAGTGGTTTGAGGGGGTCGGGGTAAGCAGAGCCTTTGGTGGTGGTAGTGGTGCAACAGCGACACTGATGGGTAATTTTTTGGGCTAGTACGTAGAGATATGTGTGTGTGTGTGTGTGTGAGAGAGAGAGAGAGAGAGAGAGAGAAAAGGGGCTAGGTTTGAAGATGAGAGGATATTATTGTGTGTAGTTATATATAGATCGGTTCAATACACTTGAGGACATTATGGATATTTTAGTATTTATCTTTGATGATGTCACAACTTATGTTAGTTGTGTGAATGACAGTCAAAAAATGAGAGAATCTTGATATTGTCAGTTAAAGTAGATAAAGTTTCTATAATTATTGAAACCATAAAGAAGATTCTTGTATTTGTCACAAACCTCAGGGGAGGCAAGTGTAATTTACCCATCAAAATAATTGTAACTTTATCAAGGTACAAATGAGTTTGTGCCAGATATAAGTGAAAATTGTGATATGAATGCCACAATTCTCACTTGCATGTACTTGCACTTTCATAAAAGTATATTTTTTTAAAATTTATTTTCATTAAAATCATAATTTCTCAAAAGTTTTTTCTCCAATGAAGTAAATATCTATGTAATTGAGTCCAAGAAATATGTTTAAAAAACAAATAAACAAACAAAGTCTTTGTTTTGATTCCTCAACTTCTTAATTTTATGTTTATTCTACAAAATAATGATATTAATAAAATTATATATTTAAAAAATTTATCTAGAAAAGTATATCTATAAATCATAATCATTTTAAATGTATCTCACATCCTATCAATTTTAAATCTATATTATATACCTCACTTTTTGGAGTAATTTTTGAGATGTATATACCTTGAGAAGCCTAATGACAAGGGTGTATTTGTTTGGCCCCGTTTTAATTAATTAATTTATTTATTTCCCCTTTTTTCTTTATCTTTTATGCTTTTTTCTTTAGCAGTTGTATTTAGGAAATCATTAGAAAAACATTAAGCTTATTGTGAAACTCAGTGTGAGTTGAGAATTGTGGGTCAAAAAAGTTGGATTGTTATGAGGATAAAAACTAAAAAACATTAGCCAATTAATTTAGAATCGGATTTGTTAGATAGATATTAAGTCCAGTTCATAGGACTTGTCAAGTAAGTCACCCCTACTAAAATGGCCCCAATGGGTCGATATATTAATCTTGTGTGCTAGTTGGTCCGATTCATGTTTCTAACAAAATGTTTGTTAAAAAAGAGCACAGGGCCTGGTAAATGTTAATTGGATTCAAAATCTCCAACGGCCCAAGTTATTACCGGTGCGGAATTGATACAAAATCTCTTATGGCCCAAGTTTTACTTGGTTTAGGATTTTTTATTTGTTTATTATTCAGGTATCTTAAAACGCAATTTAGAAAAAAAAAATAAAAATATAGGGATGTTGAGAATAAATTATAACTCTAAATAATTTAATATAATATATTGACATATTAAATGTATTTAATGATTTTTTAAATGCAAATAGAATCCCACAAACCAATCCATCTGATAGCCCAGACCAAATAAAAATGGGCTATCCTTCGGTTGCTCTAATTTATTTATTTATTTATTTATTTTTTAAGAATAAAATACACCCACTTTCCTTGAGGTTTGAAAAATATACAATTAAAAGAGCACAGGGCCTGGTAAATGTTAATTTGATTCAAAATCTCCAACGGCCCAAGTTATTACTGGTGCGGAATTGATAAAAATCTCTTATGGCCCAAGTTTTACTTGGTTTAGGATTTTTTATTTGTTTATTATTCAGGTATCTTAAAACGCAATTTAGAAAAATAAAATAAAAATATAGGGATATTGAGAATAAATTATAACTCTAAATAATTTAATATAATGTATTGACATATTAAATGTATTTAATGATTTTTTAAATGCAAATAGAATCCCACAAACCAATCCATCTGATAGCCCAGACCAAATAAAAATGGGCTATCCTTCGGTTGCTCTAATTTATTTATTTATTTATTTATTTTTTAAGAATAAAATACACCCACTTTCCTTGAGGTTTGAAAAATATACAATTAGTCCCATACTTTTGATATAATTACATTGACATCCCTTATATTGTAAATTTACTCAACTAAATAAGTCAACCACAATCAACAGTGACAATTTTTTTGGGTCAAAAACCCTAATTGACATTGCTAATTAGACCAACTTGATACAAAATTCAAAATTAAGGATTAAATCGAGTCAATTAAAAGTGTGAGAATTAAAATGATACAAGAGATAAAATATAATGATTACCACACTACTAGAAAAATGACTTTTTGCGTCACTTCTTTTGCGACGGTCAAACAAGCGGTCACAAAAAAAGAAAAAAAAGAAAAAGAAAATATCAGCAATAGCCATAACTTATAAGGGATGCAAATAACACGGCTTTCTTTAATTAATTTTCCCCAATTTCAATTTCATAACTTTCTCTCTCTCTATGATGGAAGCTCTCAATGTGCCTTAGCTCTCTCTCGCACTCACCCATGGTCGTCACAGGTATGGCTCCCTCTCTCTCTCTCTCTCCCCTTCAATTTCTCAATCTCTCTTCTCTCTCTCTCTCTCTCTCTTAAATTGTTTCTGAATTCAGAAACTTGTAATGTACCTGTCAATTTGTTGAATTTTCAGGTGATTTCATTGCAAATTAGGTGATTTCATCGGTGTCTTGTGAGAATACAAGTAATTTTTCAATCCTCAACCTCCTCTATCACCTCTGCTTCTCTCTCTATCTGACTTAGGAAATCTAGGTTTTCAATTATATGCAATTCTTTCTTTTCTCATCTGAAATGTTTCTATCTATTTTCAATTCTTCTCACATATACATGCATATTTATATACACACATCTGAATTCGATTATTTTTTGTTCTGCGATTCATAGCCAATTTCGCAAATTTCATAGAATTTAGGAGAGATATTGTGAGAGAGCAAAAGTTAGGGTTTGATTCATTTACTTTTTATTCTCCTCTCTCTCTCTCTCTCTATGGCTTTGTTACTCACAATTACATAGAGTTTTCAAAAAGAATTTATGACGCTATTCAAACAAAAAATTTCTATAGCCTAAATTTTGTATAGACTTGTTTTATTTTAATATTTTGTCTGATGAAGGTGCATTGGAATTTTAATTGAATTTTTTTGTAGTATAGCTAGTGTTTTGTTTATTTATTTGAATTTTTTACAGCTTAAAAAAATTAGTTTCATATTAAAGTTAACATGTGAAGCACAATAATAATTTTCCCCACATTTACATTCTGAAAATTCACATAATAGCAGTAAGAATGATAGCATCTAGCTATTTCGATTTGTATTTTCAGTTTAAATGTATTTTGTAGCTCCGTAAACCCTGGTGTTTAAGCCCTTTTTTGGTAATTGTTCGACTTAGCCCCTGTTGTTTTTGGTAATTGTTCGACTTTGTTCCTATCTATTAGTCCATTTGTCTTCATGTTGAATCAAAATTACCGCTTCTCTAAACCTGATTTGCTGGGTATATTATTTTTAATAAAAAGTGATACTGTCATAAAACTAATCAAGTAACCTATCGCAGGATAAATTACACACGTATTTGTACATGTAATTAGATTTTTTATCAAGCATTTGAATAAAATTTGTTTACAAATGGTTATGTGATTATGTCAAGAACCAAGGGCTTGATCAAATAAATTGAGCAACATATTCTTTTGTTGATGATAATCCTCTCAAATTCTATATTAGGCGTATCAATGGCATCACTGACGGAACTTTCTTTCCACTGGACTGGTTTCATTAGTGCGATGATTTCAAATATTGCATTCACTTACAGGAGTATCTATTCAAAGAAGCAATGGTAATGTCTTTCACATGTAATTATTCTTAGTATTCTAAATTGTGGTTTTAATTTTATGGAATGGAAGAGTGTGGAAGAACACAATTAAGGTCCCCTGCTTGACCTTTAATAATGCTTGATTATCTCTTATGTTGCTTTTGACTTTTCTAAATGCAAGAAGTAATGGTGTTGAACACTTGACACGCGTAAGACTTAAAAGAGTACAGGATTTGTGTCCAATGTGCCTAGTTGGACATGCACCCAGTATCTCTTGCTTAGTCTATTAGGTAAGTTTTATAACACTAAACTTTACTGACTAATATCTTTTTATATTGTGAGTGACAATGTTAATATCAATTTGGTATAAATATAAAATTGTGGAAAGGTTCTTTCTTTGAATAATGGTTAATAAGATTGTGACAGGATACTTCTCTTACTCTTCCCTAAACCAAAGCATACATGATTAGTCAAAACTGTAAGCTTATATAGACTAACAACACTAACTAATATAAGCATGGATCAAGTTCATAATCCTATGTTGAACAAACTTTTAACTTCAAGAAGTGCTTGTGGTAACTTATTTTCAAATCTCTAATTTAGCATCTCAGGCCATGTCAGGTTCTATAACAAACCTAATATTCAGTCATAATCCTATGTTCTCTATATACAGTGTGCCTGCAAGTTTGTGTGTGTAGGCTAGACCTTAGTACATGGAGATAAAATAAAGGACAATTAAATTAACAGTGATGGTGTACTCTATATGTGACTAATTGGTTTTAAATCAAAATTAAAATATAGGATATATACATGGGGTTGATGATTGATCTATGCCATAGGTTTGATCCAAATAAAAAATGAAAATAGTGTGATAAGAGTGTAAGCTATCTTCTTTGATGATATCAATGCACATGAAAACATTTTGAACTTCCATGAAGTACATAACTTTCTCCCAATTTTTGAGGTCTTCTATGATGGTTGTTTGTCTCTTCTTCAGTGATCTTGGAAATGCAGCATTATCTGGCCAATTTTTGGTCCCTCAGCTTGGCCAGCTCAAGAATTTACAGTACCTGTAAGTCTATTTTTATGTGTTTGCCTAACTGCTGCCTTGGATTTTTTTAGTTTGTCTTGATATTATTACTTTCTATTACTAAACCATCCCTCCCTTCCTCACTCTATGTAGTCTATCAGACCATGGTAAAAAAGCCTTTGTAATTATTATTGATCTAACATTATTGATCATCTGTACTGTTCATCTGTTAACATTATTGATCTAACAACTATAAGCAGTGATCTGCATGTCTAGAAAAATATTTATGTTAAACATTAGGTTGGGCATTACATTTTATCTCTCATCTGTTTTTCATTTTGTGAAATCTTTGTGTGCAATTAATTGATTCTGTTAATTTGTTAAATATTTATGTTGGCCACTGCCATATGCGTCCTTGTTACAATATCTATAAGGGAACGCATTGTTTCCATACACCATAACAGATCACCAATATATATTTCACTAATGTTTCTAATTACTTTTTAGTGTTCTACAGAAATGTAAAAACTGATTTTTATGATTTTGTTTTCCTCACAATATTTCTGAAATATGCACTAATGCAGGGGATCACTACCTAAAACCATTTGTAATACCGAAACTAGAAGTCAGAGTGAGCAGAAGAACTAGTGCAGATGAACCTCTATTTTTCTAGAAATAGAGATTTGGATGTTAGCATGGTTCTATATTGAGAAATGCTATATCTCAACTGATAGTTATATGAGAATAAATTATACATATTTAAACCATGGGTTCTTATTTAGATATCAACACTACACAGCTCTCCAAATAATCATAGTGCACCTGATAGCTTATAATCATTGAATTATTTATTTGAAGGTGAAAATTGCTTGCCCGGTTCTCAAATAGGTACAAGTCATCCAAAGAACAAGGGAGGAACAGAGCCATTATTTCATCTTACTGGCGCACATTTTTATCGAGCCTAAGTACTACTTATCATTGGTTGATGCTGGAGCCTCAGAAGGTATACAACGCCATGACTTTTTGAAAAGAAAAGAAAAAAATGCTATAGTTTTGTATTTAGCACCATGATCTTCACTACAAAAATGCTATAGTTTTTGAATTATTATTATTTTCTGTCATGTTTAGTTTGCAAGTGTTTTGTGTTGTAATGAAAAACAATTGACAATTCATTGTGCCTATTTTATTTTTCCAGAATCATGAATATAACTATGAGTCTGTGACTATATGTAAATCATAACAAGAAGGAATGACAAAGATTAAAAAGAGATGCAGACGCATAGGGTTAAGGCTTAACTTGTTGGGTTATGTTGTTCTAGAAGAACCTGTAGTACCCAAGATGAAGGTGCTTCAAAATAAAGGCATAAAAAAACATAATAGTGATTCCTCTAATCTTTTTCAGCAGAGATGTTTGTCTGTGAACTTCTAATGGGTTACACAATATCTTTGAAATTTTTGTACTCTTTACTGCTTATCGGACTTTAGTGATATTGCAATTCTTGTCTATTTGGAAGTGGGGTCAATAACGGTGTCCTAGTGTCGATATTTTCAGTTCTAAATGCAGTCTGTGGCTTTTACTGGTGCTCACCTGTTTGTTATTGCTGCAATCTGGTTTGTGGGATTTGGCCTTTCTCTGCTCCTCCTCTGTCTCTGTTGTTGCTGCTGTACCAACGTCGATACCATGGCTATTCTTGAACAGCTTATGCGCTTTCTTTCATTTTTCTGATGTTCACTCATTGCTGCAATGTATATCTCTCTCTCTCTCTCTCTGTGTCACACACACACACAACAATACCTACGAGTTTAAATTGAATATTTGGATTTGGATCGATTTATCTGAGAGTCCATTGTTGTTCTATGTTTTTGATTTCAGCATTGGATGCGTTGTTTTGTATACTGGACAAGGGAAGTTCCATACTAGCACATCGAATACATTGGACCATGTCGTGTGGCAAGCTAACACCATTGTTGAGAGTCTTGGGAGTGTATTGGATTATCTTGAAGCAGCTAAGCATATCAGAGTGGATCAACTTTTTTTACCTCCTGATGTTCAAAACAACATCAACAAGGTTGAAACTGACATTAATATTGCTGCTCCATGGTTGGTGTAACCAAATTGCTTTTATAGTTTCCTGGTTGCATACCTTGCTCTTAGTTTATCATTCTCTTCTGAATTCTCATAGTAGGACTTTTGCATATGATCTAGTGATAGTTCTTGCAACACCTTTGTTTTACAGCATAGTTGTGAAGATTTTGCTCTTTCATTCTTCATATATTTTCTTGGTCCTCACAATCTTAATCATTCTAGTCAGCCAAACAGTATCATCATTATTGCCCTCCTCAACCTTACTCATTGGCTTTGAGCTGTGGCCTTTCTTCTTGGAATGTTATATGACACGTTTTCAATCATAGCCATGCTTCTTGAATTTCTGACATGATTATTGCTTGCCAAACTGACATAAACACCTCTTCATCTCCTTTCAACACCTGTCAATCACGTTCTAGCAAACATTTCACAGTTGCATGTATGTATCAAATATTTCTGCTGAAGTTTCTAAATAAATGCTTATGCTTTCTCTCATTGAAGTACTACTGAAACCCTTGTTATTTGTGAGTTTACATCTGATTTAAAATGCACTTATCATCAAATGTTGCTTGTTTTCCCCAGGGGTCATCAATTGGACTAGTTAAGTGAATGCAGCCGGCTATCAGAATCCGGCATTGCTGATTCCGTGATAAGCTCTAAAACTGATCCAAATCTTTGCTTTGCAATGCTGCCCATTCCAGCATCTCATTTTCTGGTCTTAGCTGGAGAGTAGTGTTGCAGATCATCAAGACTGGTGCTTCTCCAATGGTTCTCACGGGAGAGCCGCCTCCATTGTGTCCTGAAAGTTCATTCCTTCAACTAGTAGGAGCAGCGTTGTTATGCGTTACATGGAAAAGAAGACACGCAAGTAAGAGTAGAGCGGTTTTTTTTTTTTTTTTACACCATTTAGGTTAAAAAAGAAAAGAATATTGTGTGGACCTAGGAAGCATGCATGTGTATTTAATTCACTTTCAATTCTTTTTGATTGTTTAGTTCTTTGTTTAGTGGAATTATATTTTGAGGGTTTGTGATAGTTCGAGGAAAGTGTAGAAGAAGTGTTAATGCATGAATGTTGAGATTTTATTAAAGGAAGAAATGAAAAATAATGCATGAATTTGAGATTTTTGCAAAATATGTCTTTATGTTTATTGTATATAATATTTGAATATATATATATATATATCTCTATATATATACCATTTGTAGGTTTTTTTTTTTTTTTTTTTTTTGCGACGGTAAGAAGATGGTCACTAATACATTGTAGGCATTTTTTAAACTCTTTTGCGACGGCAAAATATTAGTCGCTATAAGTAGGTTAGGTGATCACAAATAAAAAGTATTTGTCACCCCCACATTCGCGACCCTCATTTGCCGTCGCATAGGCCGTTGCAAAAAGTCTTTTGCGACTGTTTTTTTATTATTTGCGACGACTTGTAGCGGTCGCAAAAAGTACTTTTTTTAGTAGTGCCAGTATAATTTACCTATATAACTATTTAAACAAAATAAAGTATTACATATCATAAAAGATTGTGCTAACCACAACTCACACGGCATCGTTTAAGTACTAAATAATGCTTAAAAAAATTGAATTCTAATACATATTTTATATATTTTCATACACATTTAATATATTTGAATATAATATTTATTCTTATGGCTTTTTTTTTCGTTTTTTTTAGGCTATCCCCAACTATCAGATTCAAATCAATCCGACACGGTTGCACATTGTGGTAAGTTTTTCTCCAATATTTAAATTAAATTTAAAATTCATAAATAAACTATTAAATCTAACTTGAAATTATTCACTTTGAATAATTACTTTTATATAATTTTTTTAATTTTTTGTATACCGTGTCTCCTTGTCGAAGATCAATGTCCACTAATTCAACCGTTACAAATGCTCAATTGTTATAATGTTTTGGAACTTTCAAACCCTCCATTTTTTTAATGTAAGTTGAAATTATTTAAACTAAAACAATAAGGCACGAGGATGACTTATTTAAATAATTAAACTTCTTATAAGAGTATTGAAAAGTAGTGCTTATTGAGAGTAGTGCTTTGACTGTTTTCTTTTTTCCCCTTGTCACCAAAAATAAATAAAATATTAAAATAAATCAAAGTAAAAATAAAATAAAAAATCACATGAATGTTGAACAAATACCAATAACCATTTATATTGTTATCTTATTATTAACTCAAAAACATTAAATTTTTAAAAATGGTCAATTCCCAGATTGAAAGTGCATTTTATTTCCTTCTCAAAAAGAAATGAAACAAGACATTGTTAAGAACTCAAATTTGCAGAGAACAAAAATTTTAAAAGTTCTGGACATATTTCTTTCTCAAAAAGAAATGAAACAAGACATTATTGAGAACTCAAATTTGCAGAGAACAACAATCTAAGAAGTTCTAGACAAAGAACAAGTGGAATTGTAGAGGAGGAGGGAAGAGCTAAAGCTAGTTTGGATGAAGTTAGGTCAAACTCAAGAAAATGATCCTCCATCTGGTACCCGCCTAACACGACTGAGGTTATTGGATGTGGCCCTCCATCCACAAATCCCAGGCAAGAAACATCTTTGTTAACTCTCACCATTGAGTTGGCACCATAAATCCTCCAATAAACGCCCTTTCGCACAACAAGATCAATACTTGCCACAGCTGGTCTGGTTATGGTGCTAGCCATAGTCTTTGAGCTAAAGCATGCTCGAAATGGTGCCACGGATGCAACCATTTTGATCTTTCTAGATAAGGCCTTTTTCACAAACTCACTAACAAGACATTTGTAGATACAAGTTTGCAAGATGGTACATGGGGTTATGGTGCTTAATTTGGTTCCACCAACTCCGTTTCTATCGATGGATAGCAAGGAAGTGTTGAAAGAAATGAGTTTAGTACCGTTGACTCTGATGGATTTCACGTTAATGAAATATTCATCCGGTTGAGCGGCATTAACGATGAGTGGAGTGGTGGTAAGCGACTTAGTGAAGTTTAGGGTAGAAGGATTCAAGTAGTATATACAACCCAGTTGAAGATGGAAGACAAAAGGCAAACTTGTTAGGTAACTTGAAGGCCGAGGCAATCTGAATGGGCAAAACAGTTTGTGTCCTACCCAAGCCTACCATACCCTTAGGTCTCGTTTGGCAAGAGGCTATTTTAGCCAATTAGCCAAAAAGTTACTAAATTAGCCAAAAAGCCAACAACCCATACCAAAAAGTCAAAGATTCTCCTTTCTCTCTCCTTTTTGCACATCTTTTCGTAATTAGCCAAAAAGTCATCCCAAACATACAAGTTTTTTTTACCTACCTTTTTAGCCAAATAGCCAAAAAGTTACTAAATTAGCCTGTTCCCAAACGAGGCCTTAGTAGCTCTCGCTAGTCCTTTCAAGAGAAATGAGCTATTAGCACATGAGAAAGCAACATGAGACACATTATAAATGTTAGAATTAATCGTAAGGGTTTCATGACCACCGTGCACTCCATAGAATCAATTATGTATGTATTGATGTATTGAATGGTGTTAGGTTAGCTCCTTTATATAGAGGAGTTACAAGCTTACAAGCCAAAAGAGAAAACAGAATTATTAAAGCATACTAATTGTTATACTAACCTAATTATTAAAGCAGCACTTTACATATTATATTCTAACAGCCCCCCTCAAACTCAAGGAGGATAGGAACCAACCAATCAACTTGAGTTTGGAGAGAATAACAAAACAGAAAAATAAAATAAAATAAAATAGGATAGGAGACACTGTATGGTCGTGTCAGACCGGTGTGAAAGATATTGTAGGGTTGTAACAGACCGGTGTAGAAGACACTGTATGGCTCGTGCCGGACTGGTATAGAAGACATTATATGGTCGTGTCGAACCGTTGTAGCAACTAACCGGAATCAATGTCGGGACAGTTTACAAGGTCATGCCGGACCGATGTAGAAACTAACCGGAATCAATGTCGGGACAGTTTACGGGGTCATGCCGGACCGTTGTAGAAGCTAACCGGAATCATTGTCGGGACAATTTACGGGGTCATGCCGGACCGATGTAGAATACACTGTATGATTGTGTATATAGGTTGCTCAAATATATATATATATCGAGCCCTCAAAAGGCGCGCCCAATTCATCAAAAGTCGTGCCTGACAGAAATCGTCGAGCGGCGAGCCATTAAAAGTCGCGCCAGACACGCGGCGATGCACGTGATCGACAGAGCGTCATGTCGTCCTCTTCGTCATTGTCTATATAAACCGATGCGGAGGCTGTGCAAACCAAACTAGTCTGAAACCTCTGAACATTTTTATTCTGAAACACTTTGCAACCAACCCTTTCTGACATTACCAGTCGGGAATCGCTGTTTCTCTGAAACACTCAGCAACCTAAAACATGGCCTCTTCTTCCCGTTTAGCAACCCAGCACATGGCCTCTTCTTCCCGTGGTCTGCTCACTCTCTTTCCAGACCTCAACGAGTCCACAAGAGAGATAACTAGTGCGGTTGCCCTTGAACCTCAACCACGCGTCCCTGGTTTTGCTCCGTTGAACTTTCCTATGCGGTATGTGGAGCAAATAATGGCAGCGCAATCGGATATTGAGGCCAATCAGTATATATTGAAGTCATGTGTAGAGACCATGACTGCGGTCACAAACTTGTCGCACTGGCTTCAGAGTAGAACAAATGAGGTGCAGCAGTTAAACGCCCAACTGGCTCTGCTCCAGCGCATGTATAAGGATGCGCGAGCAGAGATATGTGTGCTAAAGGCAGAAAACAAGGAGCTGAAGCGGAAGGCCACCATAATGTTCTAATTCGGAGGTCCGCCATATGCTACGGCGGAGGAGCAGGGGGGAGTGAATGTGCTCGGTGGATTAGGAAGTACTGAGACCGGGCTGTCACAGGACACCCAAGATAAAAGTAAGAACAAGAGAACAGCGGAAGAGGCGAAAAAGTAAGGCCGGTTTTTGTGGTGGTTGTGGGTTGTGGTTAGAGATTGTTTTGGTTTGTTATTTATTTATTTATTTATTTATTTTTATGTGTGTGTGTGTGATGTATTGGTAATGCTCTGGTATTGCAATGGAAATGTAGGACTTGAATTTGGTGATTTGTGAATAATAGTCTATGATGGTATGCTGGCACATTGAGTATTGGATACTGTTGTGCTTGTGATAAAAGAAAATAAAATAGGATAAAATACAAGAGGAAGAAACAGTGGGTATGGTGGTTTGGGGGAGAGACACACGCTGGACACACACACATAATACACAGGACACAAGAAAGATAAGATAAAATAAAGAAATGTATTCTATTTTGTGGTGAGGGAGTCGATGAGTGAGGTGCAAAAGGTGAAGGAGAAATGTTGGGTTGAAAATGTTTTGGGTCAAAAGTGGTGGTGAAAGGCACAGGAAAATTGATTAAAAATAAATAAAAAATAAATAAAGAAGTGGGGATGGGTTCAAAAGTGGACACTGTCAGTGGGAAACATGAGTGTATTGATTATTTGATATAATAATAATAATAATAATAATAATAATAATAATAATAATAATAATAATAATAAAAATAAAAAGTTAGACCACTTGGAGAGAATGAGTGGAGTGTGGTAAGGGTTTCATGACCACCGTGCACTCCATCACAGATATAGGAAAAGGAAAATGATAAAAGAAAGAAAGAAAAAATAATGTGTCAAAGTGAGCGGAGACAGATTGGGTGGTATTGGCAGGAAAGGGTATTGATCCTCTGTTGTGGGCAATTCAACTCTCTTCGAAATTGAACTATGCAGGAGTCTCTCTCCCCTTTCCTGAACTCATACAAATTATTGCAAATGGTGTGTTTGTAACCAGGGATGGTTTTACAAATGATCTCCAACATTTAAAACAGCTTGGTCGTTCCAGTCGGAGAGAGCACCGTTGAGATCGGACAGACCAAGTTTGACTCGCAGAGCCGTCGGCATGATGGCCAGAGCCGACAAGAAGGCGGCGAAGGCCGAAAGAATGTCTGAAAGCTGTCATCACAGACGTGGCAGTTTCCCAGTCGTTGGATGTGGTAGAGATAATGTTCCATTTGGTCAGAGATTGTGGCGGAGCAGACCATAGTGGCACCGATTGTGGCCGTTGTTAGGAGGTGCAACTGAGCTGTCCATACTCACCGGTGGCGGAAGCGACCGCGAAGGACTGAAACTAGAGGACTTACTAGCTTTTAACCTAGCTCTGATATCATGTTAGAATTAATGTATAAGGAAAGAGAGAGAGAATTAATTATGTATGTATTAATGTATTGAATGGTGTTGGGTTAGCTCCTTTATATAGAGAAGTTACAAGCTTACAAGCCAAAAGAGAAAACAGAATTATTAAAGCATACTAATTATTATACTAACCTAATTATTAAAGTAGCACTTTACATATTATATTCTAACAATAAACATACAAATGACTCGATTTGTCTTCGAAACCTACAATTGAGACATCCTCGAGAAGCACCTCGGCTGCAACCAAGTTCTTGACCGAGTTACGAGCCAAGACACCACACATTTTTTTTTGGGTGGTGGTGGCGGTGCATTGAGAGCCTTTGGCGGCTTTGCATTTTGCATAGCCGCAACGAATGAGGCGATATGATGTGGAGTCGAAGTCATGATAGTTAAACCAGAGTAATTTGCCTCCGAGATCGATGACTACCTATCGATAATAAGAAGAAACATTGGAACCCAGTTGAATATCGGTATAGTACTGGAGAGTTTGAACATCCTTAATGACGGTATAGACTAGGTTAGTTGGGTTAGGATCTCCTTGTTTGGAATGTGAAAGAAAAAAGAAGAGAACAAGGGAGGAGAAGAAGAGATATAGGGAAGAAGCCATTGAAGACAAGTTTTGAGTTTACGAGAGAGTAGAGTAGTAGTAAGAGGTACTGCTTGCTAACTCTTAATATATATACTACTACACTAGGTTGGTTGATAAGCACAAGTGGAATTACCATTGATATAACTATAAAAATTCTAAATGCAAATCACACAACCATATAATACAACCTTTTTATATTGGACCCCTCACGACACCTCGAATTTGTCGCACACGCACATCAATAATACCACGTGCATAAAAAAATTAAAAAGACATGTACCTTTGAAAATGTCATCAGGTTGATCTATTGCTTTCTATATATTTGTGAAAACGTGGTTGGGTTGGATCCTAATCACCTTGTCCCCCCCACCACAAATAATACTTATTACTTTGAACACTACTCTACCTCTGTGTTCAAAGTATTGAAATGCACTAGTAATCTTAACTCCTGATAAAATTTTCACCCAAATTACTCAATGTTATATATGCCCCATTTATAATTTCAACTCCTAATATAGAGTTTGGGCAAGCACAATATATCACAAACCAACCAACGCAGGACACCGATATATGTATATAAAAATTCAATATTGGAAGAAGTTATCCGCTTGGATATTTTGATTCAACCTTAACCAACATTTTCCTCTTTTAATTCTTTTTCAAGCTCATATAACTAGGAATGGCAACGGGGCGGGACGGGACCGGGGATCACCCTCCCCGTCCCCGATCCCTGATGGTGAAAATTACCATGTCCCCGGCCCCGATCCCCGACGGCGAACCTATCATCGTCCCCGCCCCCGTCCCCTAACGGGGATCGGTTTTCCCCGACCCCAGAAATTCCCCGGGCCAAAAAAAAAATGGAAAAAAAGAAAAGAAAAACAGAACAGCAGCAACAATGAATATGTGTTAGATCTGAGATGAACAACAATAATAATCTAGCAATGATCCTCTGTTTCTTCTTCGTCAACAATAACAACCACATCAACAATCAATAACAACAATGAGATGATATACATACCTATATATATACAAGTTAATCTATATTTATATATATTGAAAAATCAATGAGATGATACATATTACATATATATATATATATATATAAATGAAATTGAAGATCTGAAACGCAGAGGTGGTCATGGATTGAAGACCAGAGGGTTGAAAAAAAGATCTGCAAAAAAAAATTAAAATAAAATAAAAAAATACTTCATCAAAGGAGAGTAGGTGACCAAAATACATTCTGCATATATATACATATCATACACACAGCAGCAACCAAACAATCTCTCTCTCTC